GATAGGTCATTTGTAGTCTCTGGAAAAAGGATTGAAAAGATTTTTTCGCTATGGTATGGTAGGTGGGATCTTGATTACGTGGGAAGGAAGATATAGTTAGATGTGTTGAGTTATATTAGGGGTGAATGCTTAATTTCTTGTTTGTTCGAGAATAAGAGGGGCGGGGAATGTTGGGCTTTTACGAGAATTTACAATAAGAGTGAAGGAAGTGAAAGAGCCTCGTTGTGGAGAGATTTGGATAAATGCAAGCGGAAGTGGAGTCACCCATGGGTTGTGTGTGTGGGGATTTCAACATGATGCTAAGTAGACATGAAAGAGCAGGATCTCAGATTTCAAGTATTTGCATGAAAGAATTCAAGGAAGTTATGGAGAGACTAGAATTAGTAGATCTATCTCTAACAGGAGGAAAGTGGACATGGTTCAATTAGAGGGCTAATCCGGTGTGCTCTCGTATTGTTAGATCTCTAGTGTCCAACTTATTTCATCTTTAAATTGTAGGTACTTGTCAAAGCATTTCCAGAGGGTAATCTCCAACCATTTTCCTATTAGTTTAGAGTATGTCGGGATCAAGTTGGGCCCATCCCCTTTTAGATTTGACAATAGATGGTTGAGTGTGAACAACTTGAATGAAAAGATAGAGGATTGGTGGAAGAGTAATGAGATTAGTGGAAAGACTAGCTTCAGAGGCACGAAAGTTAAAGATGATTTAATTTGCAATAAAGGAATTGTACAAAGAGGAAGAGCAGAAAAAGAGTATGGATACACAAGCTTTATATAGGATTTAGTGGCTATGGATGAAATGGAAGCAGAAGAGGAATTGTCACCTAAAGATATCGCTAGAAAGGAACAACTAAAAGTAGCATTGGTGATCAGATTGCAGAGAGAGGAAGCAGATTGGAGGCAAAAATCGAGAGCAAAATGGATTAAAGAAGGGGATCGCAATATGGGATTCTTTCATTGTATGACTAGTCACTATAGAAGATGGAACTATCTGGAGACCATGGACATTGAGGAAAGGGAAGTGCAGAGCAATGAGGATTTGAGATGAGGAGTTGAGAAGTATTTCAAATATTTGTATTGTGAAGGATTTGAGTTTGAGACCTAGAGTAGATAGTATCAGTTTCAGCATGTTGGATGAGATGAGTAGAAAGTCTATTGAAAAGAAATTTTTTGAGGAGGAAGTTTATGAGAGTCTTATGCAATGCAACAAGGATAAAGCTCCTTACCCATATGGTTTTAATATGAATTTCCTGCTGAAATTTTGGTATCTATCCAAGGATGATATCATGGAACTTTTCAAGAAACTTCATGAGGCGGGTGCATTTGTAAATTATCTCAATTCTAAATTTTTGGTCCTTATTGCTAAGGTGGAGGGGGCGACAAGCATTAAGGAATATTGGCCTATAAGCTTGATGAATTGTGTTTACAAACTTATAGCAAAAGTTCTTGCAAGAAGAATGACTAGTCTTAAATAAAGTGATTGGGGAGAACCAATATGTGTTTGTGGAAGGAAAGCTTATCATGGATGCGGTCTTGATTGTTAATAAGACGGTGGATGAACAATTATACAAGAGGAGTGATTGAGTGTTATGCAAATTGGACATGGAGAAGACATATGATCACATGAATTAAGTTCCATTAGTTAAGCAAGAATGGGTTTTGAAATTAAGTGGCGGCACTGGATCAATGCTTGCATTACTATAACATTTTTTGCAGTTACGGTAGATGGTGGTCCATTGGCTTTCTGCAAAACATCAAGAGGCATTAGGCAAGGAGATTCATTATCTTCCTTATTGTTCATAATTGTTATGGAAGCACTAAACAAGTTGTTAGGGAGCTGAGTTTGTTTAGAGGGATCCAGGTGGGAGAAGGAGAGGCGGATGTGGAAATAGCACACTTATTTTCGTAGATGAGACCTTGTTATTTTTCCAATTGGATGAGAGGTCTCTACTACATCTAACATGCATTCTATTTTGCTTTCAACATGTGCTCGGCCTCAACATCAATCTTGCAAAATCTGAGATGGTGTGATTGTGAAGTGGAAGCAGTACTAGAAGACTAGCAAGGACCTTGGGTTGTAAAATTGTCAATTTTTTGATCAAATACTTTGGTATGTCGCTAGATGTTAACTAGAAATTCATGAGGATATGAGATCTTGTTTTTGCCAAATTTGAGAGAAGACTTGCAGGGTGGAAGAGAACTTACTCTGTAAAAGTGGTTGTTTAACACTCATTAAAAGTACACTAGTTAATCTTTCTATATATTATATGTCTCTTCTAACTATTTTGAAGAGTGTCAACAAGTTGGAATCAATATAGAGCAGATTCCTATGGGGTGATTTGATGGAGAAAAGTGGCTTGGGACACGATTAACTAAATTAGGGCGGATTAGGAGTGAGATTTATCTTTGAGATGAACTAAGCTCTTCAAGTGAAATGGATATGGCTATTTCATGGAGGAGAATTATGGAGGCGGAGTTTGGCACAATGGATAGAGGGAGGTTTCAAGAGAATCAACGAGACTAAATGGGACAAGGTTTTGGGAGAGGATCTGCACAAGGAAGGAGAAATTTCAAGAGTGCCTTAAGTGAAGAGTGGAGATGGGGAAAGAATTAACTTCTGGTCTGATATCTGGATGGATGAAGGGGCTATGGCAACGGGTTCCCGAGGATTACTATAGCACGAAATAATGACATTTCTGTGAAAGAGATGTTTGCCGAAGGAGAGGGTTGGAAAGAGTATTGTGTAATCTTAATGATTGGGAGATAGACGAATATGAATCATTGCTAAGTGCTTTGAATTCAATTGCTTAATGAGGATTAGGACCAACCTATATGGATTCTCAATTCAACAGGACAATTCATAATAGGGGTTTTTTATAAATTCTTGACCAAGAAGAGCCAAATGAAG